CCACCTCGACATTGTTTGACTCTCGTCAAGCGCCAATGCTCTTGAATCCACAATCTCTGCAGGTGTAAGTTATTTTACTTAGATGTTGATATCACGACGCGCGCTCAGGAGGGGGCTGGTGTTCTGGTAGAATAACTCGCTGATACAATCAGTGAATAGAAGACTGTCAGCGGAAGGGTGGTAATCCTCAGGCTGAAGCTACAACAGGCTAATGCACCGACCTTGGTACAGGCCTATGCGCCCAATTTGAAGGCAGAATATGACACCTTCCTTGAGGAAGTGCAGTGTGTTCTGTACGAAGTACCTAATACAGAGTCCCTCACACTCATGGGCGACTTTTAATCCACATGTCGGAGTAGACGCTGAAAAGTGGAACGGCGTGACTGGAAAAAACGGCCCTAGCCACCTCAACATAAAGGTATGAAATTGCTGCGGTTTTGCGCAAGCAACGGACTGTCCATTATGCACCTTCTCCGAGCATCGAAGAGTGCGTCAGCATACCTGCTACCGGGAAGCTTGTGCACAAAACTCGCCGATCCATTTGATCATCGTATCGTCTGACCTAAAACGTTCAGCAACGGGTGATCGCGTTAAGAGAGGCGCAGAGCTGTCAAACGATCACTAGCTTTGTTATTGACACGCTGTGCTGTAAAAAATGGAGTATCATACGAAGATCTAGTGATAGAAGCAACCAGAGAATCAAATGGAAAATATTATCTTCGGTGGACCGCCCCCTCCTTCCCCCCGCGAAATTTGCCAACAACATCGCAAGACAGTTTGAACAGATCCCAGTGATAAACACAAATGTGGAAACAGAGAGAGCTCTTTAAAAGCGGCAAAATCGAGGCTGCCGCCAAATGCTGTGGATTTAAACGGGTTCGCCTGCTGCCTGAAGGTCAGCAAAGAACTTCCTGGTGGACACGAGAGGTATAATTGGCAGTTAAAGAGAAGGCTGTATTCAAGATATAGTCTGGAAACAGAGCTTTCTAATCGCGTGCCTTAGTCGAAGCACGCAAGGCAGCTACGAAAGCAGTGGCGAAAGTCAAAAGCTAATTCCTGGGAGAAGTTCGATGGGGTGCTGGAACCGAATTTCCACACGGCAAACAAGGTGTTCTGGCAGACCACACGCTGGCATCGAGGTGAAAAGAAGGGCAGTCTAAGAGTCTTGAAGGAGAGTTCTGGACATCCTCTTAGAGAAAGTAAGGACATCCTTCGGCGATGGAGAGAGTACTTTAAGGAACTCCTTAACTCTGTGCACCCGTATGCAAACTCGCTTGTGGAGCAGCAGGGAAGATATTACTATTTCTGCAGATGCACATGCTATGAAAAGCTTGAAAAGTGGAAAGGCTGCAGAAATTGACGAAATCCGCCGTGAAATGCCCAAAGTATTAGGCGGAAAAGGCATGTGCTGCTTTATGCGTATCTGTTAAACTGCAGTAGCTACGGGGGCGACACAAGCGGACAGGAGAACGGTCTACTGTACCCCTGTTAAAGAAGCGAGACCACACAGAGTACTCCAATTATCGGG